AAGTTTTCTGTTATTCTCCCTTTAAACAAATTTTACGACTCAGGATTACAACTTTTTTGTTAAACTTTTCCAAAACATTTTCCTACAACATCTAACTGAGTGCAGGGCCGGGGCTAGATGGGGGGCCAGGGGTGGCCATGGGTTAGGCAATCACTGGTCACCCCTGTGGCCACCCCTACCAAAGAGAAAATGATCATTAAGTCATCCAGGAGTCTTCAGTGAAATCATAGATAAATAACAATTTTATTAAAACCTTATCAAATAATCAATTTATGTAGTTATTAGTGCTTGTAAATATGCAGAATGTTTATTGATACAAGTAGGTAAGTAATGATAATGGAAAAGATTTATGCGCCAGAACTCAAAACCAAAATAGTTTTCTCCACTATACCTTTATTTAGAAATTAAATTGCTATTTAAATATATGCATCTATTTGTTAGCAAAAGCTGTAGGAAAGTTTGTCTTTTTTTTGAAAATATGGATGTTTTGCTCCTTAATTTTCCTGTTGGAACAGCGTAGATTGACTCTAAGGTTCTGGCGCCCCTCAGTGTGCATTGGTTATTGTCTGGCCACCCTTATACAAATGTTGTGGCTGAGTGATACCCACCTGCTCCGGGTCGTAAACCATGAGCCGGTTCTGGTACTGGGCTGTGTTCGTAACGCCGCCTGTAACACAACAAAGTTTGACATTGTGACACTCTAAAAGTAACAAGCATTAGTAAAACTACGCATGCAGCAGTTTAAGAGACAGATGTGTGTCTGTGTGTGAACAGGTGAAGTTAAAAAAATCATTTATGCTGTGTTTTTCCTTTTCCGTTTCTTTTTTATTTCTACAAAACTAAAAAACTGAAACGTTTAACTTTAACTGAGAAATCAAAGTATGTTTCTATATTCAACTCACAGTCTACATTAAGGTATTTAATAATTCTAATTAAAACACAGCAGCAGAGGTTTCTGTGACAGTCTTATTTCATCAGTATAGACCAGCAGGGTCCGAATAAAGAAAATCTACAACTTTAAACCTGGAATTTGAATGGAGACAAAGCCATTCTAAAGCACATATCAAGGTGCTCATTATGAGCCTGGATCCATATTTATTTTTTATTATGTTCATGGTGGAGAATCCTGCTTCACAGCAGCAATTGAGCCAAACATCCTCTAAATGTGCACGGTCATCTTTGAGCACCATTTCACTTTTCTGTCACCAGTTCACCACAGTTCTTCCAGCAGTCCACACTTTATCTGCTTTGTTTTTCTCATCATCTTCTCCTTCTTTCCCATCGCCCGGCTTACCACAGGTTTGCCTGCTGTGTCTAAAAGTAGCAGCAGCAGCAACAACTCTGGTAGTGCGGTGGAAAAAGAGGGTCTGATGCGCGTTGGCCGGAGCTACCCTATCCTTTCTTTGCCTGTATCAATGGCAGCTATATTTGCTGTTATCAGTGGGTAAAAAGTAGTTTGAATCTATCTGGAAGCGAGAAAGTCCACCTGAAAACATCTTCAGTGCAGTCAGTTCATCCAGATTACCATCCTGCTTTCAAATATTATTTCTGTCGGAGCCGCTCAGACCCCAGTACATGGGCGGCGCGCTGTCACTAGGAATCCCGTTAAAACAGCAGACTGTGGCCCAGTCTTCTCCTCATGCTTTGCTGTGGTGGCTGGAAGGCATTTTTCATGTATGTAATCCAAACTGC